TATCTTTTCCATACTCTCTAAAGTAGGTATTCTCACTATTCTCATTGTCTAGAACCTTGGAAAAAAACACAGTATCAAATCATCAACTTGTGATGGTCTGGCAAATTGGAACAACCTTGCTTCTTCATTAGCACATTGAGCATAATAATACTAATACCAGCCTTACATGGCCATTAGAAAATAACAAGTAAGAAGGGTTTTCTAAAAATTTGTTGAATTTCTACAAGTGGTCATTAATCTCTGTCCAATCATAATCCCATTCTGGAATGTGTACAGTGACTGGGGGGCGCTGCCAGCCTCGTGGTCTGAGCTGTCGGAGGGCAGCATGGGGATATAAGCACAGGCTTCCTGGGAAGCCATTGAGGATGCAGAACACCAGTGGAAAGGGAAGTGGAGGAGCTCAGGAAATGACCACGCTTTTCCCTGACCCTAACATATCTCCCCTTCCTGGGTCCTCCACAGTGCCTAGGGAAGCCCTGAAGAAGAGGGAGAGAACTACAAGTCTGAGAAAGACAAACAAGATACTGTGGACAAGGTTCTCCCTTTGTTTCAAGGTCTTGCTCACTTCAGCCTATCAAGTGACTCCAGAGACTTCATCTCTAGCCTGATAAAGTACATGGGCGATTCCTCTTATTTCTTTTAGGATAATTCCAAGCTGTGAGAATTCCAAAAGAGTCAAGAGACCCACACGCTCTGACTTCTCCAGATTACTGTGGAGGAACAGGCATCTCTGATCTCACTAAGTCACAGGTACAGACCCCTTCTCATGGGATAATCGGAACCTTGGACTTGTGGTTGCAACCTTCGCTACGATACCTCTGGCTGATCCTACTGCTTGGGGCACCTGAGGTCCTGGAAGGAGCCATGAGACTTTGCTCCTTTGCCCCCTAAGGTTTCACTCCTCCTCCCCATGATGCTGAAAGGGATATTCCCAGCCCTTTCAGGAAGGCTGGGAAGAGGATGGGACGAGAGGAGGAGAAGGAGGGGAGAAGGCAACAAAGACAGAGAAGAGAAATAACTTGCTCAGTTGGCATTGCCATGTTCTGCCTTCCAAGTCTCGGCCTGGGAGATCTTTACAGCTACATTTTACTTTTATAGCATTTGCTTACACTTCTAAATCTCTAGAACAATGGTGGTCTCTGTCTCGTAGCTTCCTTGGCCCATAAGAATGGCCCAGTTCCTGCAGAGGCTTCCTCAGTAGTCATCTCTCACATGGGGTTCCGCCAGGACTCTAGCAGCCCGGTTGGAAGTGGCTCGTTTCTGGCCCTCAGGAGCCCGTGTGCTTCTTCGTGTCAACATACTCTGGGAGTTCAGGCTGTAACCAGCACGGAGGCAAGTCTTGCTCCCTGCTAGCCAGCCAGAATCGCAATTCCCTGAACTTCCCAGCAGGGACCAGCTGGGCAAAGTCCCACGAGGTTTGACTGAGCTCCTCGCTGTTGTCTTTTAGAGAAAGGCAAGTTCTCTGGCCCCAGTCCTTTGATGGGAAAGGGACCTGCAGCCTGGCAGCAGCTCTTTCCAAAGAGAGTCATTGCAATGATTTCTGTAGCCTCCCCTTGTTTCAGGCCACTTGACTCTCAGCTGCATCGGCTGAAATTCCCAATTTAGCAAGTGTCTTTCAGCAGCCAGGTAAAAACTCCCTGGAAGTGGGGGCCCATAGAGTAAAGAAGACCTGGAGCCAGCAGATAGCACAGCGGTTATGTTGCTGGACTCCCACATGGTTTGAGTCTCAGACCCAGTGGCTTGAAAATCACGTCAGGTATGTGTGCATGTGTGCCCCAAATATCCCAGGAGTCAAATGGAGGAGAAGAGATTGCAGTGTGTCCATCCCCTCAGGGGGAGCTCTCTCCCTCTCCCTCTCACTGTCTCTGTCTCTCTCTCTCTCTCCAGTGAGTGCATGAGCCCTAAGGCAAAAACCTCTTTAAAAAAAAAATGAAACTTTCTTAAACTGTTTAAGTATATATACATTGTCTTTCAAAAACTTTACTGAGTTGGGGAACCAGCAGTTAGCGTAATGGCTATGTCGCTGGACTCCCACGTAGTCGACCGCGGTTCGTGTCCCGGACCCGGTGGCTTAAAAAAA